GAGAAGAATAACAAAGTGCAGTATACGGTAAAACGGTTTGCACTACAAACCAGTGTGTTCATAATTAGGATAATACATTAAAATAATGGTAAGACACACCAGTGTAAAATATCAAGCTGCAAAACCAGGTATGTTGTACAGCTAAAAATAGCTGGAAGCAGGTGACACCGGAAGCAGACACATTAAATTTACAAATGGCCACGCCCACTCTTATGGGAAGAACTTACATTTCAGACACAATAATGTTGTCATTTAATTTCTTTGTTCTTGCTCTGCGAAAGAAAATAATTCCATTTAACGCCACAGTAGGACCGTTGCAACACCAAGTAAAACACTGTTGTTGTTTGATTCTCTGTTTTGAGCTAATCGATTCAATGAATGATTCAATGACTCACTCAGTTGCTTGTTTTGTTCCTGAATGAATCACCGTTTTTGAACGAACCGATTAAATTAATTTTTCAATGATTCACTTATAAAGACAGCCACTTGTCGCCTCCTACTGGAGCAACGATGTAAACTGTAGAAAGAGTCATTGACAAATCCCAAAGAGCCGACAAATGCAAATAGACTGATAGATTATCTAGAACGCGCCAACAAAGACTTGTTTGGAATCACATGTTTTATTTAGGGTTTAAAGATTAAAATTTCTTTAAAATGTCAGAAACAGACACATTCATTGTCAAGTTCAATTAATGGCAATAACCACTCACTTCATGACAATTTACTTCATAAGCAGATAATCTGGGACACATTATCATATTATCACATTAACATATTTATTTACATTAAATATTATACAATCCAAACAGGACCACAGCAATCAGGGGTGTAGATTACGCACTTTTTCGGGCAAGTGTGTTCGCATAGAGGTTTTCAAGAGCCGGTGTGAATAAATATAGATTTAAATTCAAAGAGACAGGATAGTCTGTTCATGATCTGATGTTTTATTCGGACCCAGAATAAGGCGAGATGAACATCGCGGAGCGCTAAACACTCCGTGCAGTGTATGTTTCATTCATACTCGAAGCCGGAGGGCGCTCTCGCGCAGAAAGTCATACCAGGAAATTCCTAATATGGACAAAAGCGTCCAGCTATGGCTGTATGAAAACAGTTGTTTTCACAGAAAAACAGAAACGTTTGGAAACATGAAGACATTAAACATACGATTGCGACAATATATGGTTTATTTTTGTTTGTCAAATCATCTCCAGGTAATAAATAAAGTATATGAACAATGCAGTGCTAATTGACATAGCATTTATTACAGTATAGAAACTATTCTGCCTTATTATGTGATAAAAAAAGTGTTTGTATTATATAAACAAATCATTATTATTGGTTATTGTCCAGCAGTTATCTGATTTCTAAGCCAAAAGCTAGAAATTAGAGAAACATTAAAGTTGCCCATACACTACCAGTCAAAAGTTTTTGAACAGTAAGATTTTTTATGTTTTTTAGAGAAGTCTTTTCTGTTCACCAAGCCTGCATTTATTTGATCCAGAGTAGGCTACAGCAAAACAGTACAATTTTGAAATATTTTTACTAGGCTATTTAAAATAACTATTTTCTATTTGAATATATTTAAAAATGTAATTTATTGTGATTTCAAAGCTAATATTTTTGCATCATTACTCCAGTCACACGATACTTCAGAAATCATTCTGATATTCTGATTTGCTGCTCAAAAACATGTTTTATTATGATGTTGAAAACAGCTGAGTAGAATTTTTTCAGGTTTCTTTGATGTATAGAAGGTTCAGAAGAACAGCATTTAGGTTATCTGAAATATAAATATTTTGTAACATTATAAATGTCTTTATCATCACTTTTGATCAATTTAAAGCATCCTTGCTAAATAAAAGTGTTCATTTCTATAATTTATTTTCCAAAAAAAAATTATACTGACTCTAAGCTTTTGAATGGTATAGTGTATAATGTTACAAAAGCTTTTTATTTAACATAAATGCTGATCTTTGGATCCTTCTAGTCATCAAAGAATCCTGAAAAAAATTACTATTTTTTTAAATACTAAAATACTTTTTTTATTTTTTAAATACTATTATAAGAATATAATATAATATAATATAACATAATATAATATAATATAATAAAAGTAAAGCAAATTAAATATTCTAGCACTTTTAAAAGAAAACGGTCACACAAATTTAATTGGTCAGTAGGCCTATCACTTCTGAAGAGAGCCCAATAGCATTCATAGCACTAAAACAAAAAGTACATTTGGAAATCCTAAGGGAAGAAGTTTACCCCTTGAGGTAAGTGAAGCAGATGATTGGGAGACTGACACGAGTTTCTGCGCCTTTTCGACTCTGCTCAGATAAATTCTAAACACACAGTTTAATGGATTGAATGTGCATGTTTTGGCAGGCATGTTGAGTTGATGTGATGCTAGGAGTAATGATGTTAAGTTTGAAAAACATGTAAGGTTGGAAATTAACACCTGTTTATCATTTGATTATGTTGTTATATGGCTATTAATTTGTTATTAATTATATAACACCATAAAATGTAGTCATTTGCATCTATCAGTTGAAATAATCAACTAGAGTCGCATTTATTTACACTGGAATCACACAACCCACTACACTGTTAGGTCTACACATATACAACACTGCCTTCTAGAGGACAGAAGTAGTCAGTGCATCCTTATGGCATAGCTAGCAACTAACGTCTCAGGTTACTTATGTAACCATAGTTCTCTGAGTAGGGAACGAGACACTGCGTCCTCTAGGGTTCGCTATGGAATGATGTGTAGCTCCCGGCGCCTATTTATACTATAGTCGCACCGGTAGTGACGTCATGGCTGTCGCCGGCCAACGAGTTGGTGTTTTTTCAATGTATGCTTCAGACACGGGTCACGACGAGGCGTTGCCCATAGCGACCCCTAGAGGACGCAGTTCGAAGTTCCCATGAAAGGGAACCAAACATATTTCATGGCAGAAGCCTGTTAAACAGTACAAAGGCCAGACTGATATTTGGGTCTGTTTATATGCTTAATATTGCACGTGGCCAGGGATGTTGTTTCCCCTGGCACTGTGGAGCTGGAATATTATTGACTTCATGATATGAAGCTTAGCCAATGCAATATTCTGACAGTTTTCAGAGAGAAAAAAGGTGCATTAAGTTCAAAGGACATTGTAAAATGCATGGGCAAGCAGTTCAGGCACAGCCACAATATTGGTTGCTGCATTCTGAGATGAAAACACTTGATTTCAGAATAATAGGCCTACACATTTGTTTGTATGCATTTTCATTTCTTTTACATGCCCATACTATTATTTTTGAATGCCACTTATTGGTTAATATTTATTTATTTATTTACATTGCATGATATCCTGCATGTGGAGAGCCATTATATTTTATTAGTTTGCATGCTTTGTGTTTCCTTCTCTCTTCGATCCCCCTGCTGTGCTGAAAGACTTTCGATCAAACATTTGATGAGGAGCTTACTGAGTCATTGCGTCGTATCAATGGCCTACGCAGTGCCGAGCCAGTTTACGGATCAATGGGCCAACTCGATGAATCCAATGACAGGGTAAAGAGAGAGCACAGCACTTCATCTCTGTCCATGCCTTTGACCGATGAGTTTATTATACAGTCACTCAACTTCCCTATCATGTGTCCATGTTCATTCAAGTCCAGCCCTCATGAAACAGTATGTCACATTATTTTAACATTCAGATAAGTAGTGATCATAATGTCAATATTAAAACACCCATTTGAGTATTTTATGAATCATATGATTATGGATTCATATGATACAAGTGTTATATGATTGTTTCCATTTTAGAACCTTACTTTACAGTAAGCCTCAATTTATAATAAAATTACTTTTATGGAAGTAAATGTCTACATACTAATACATACTAATACATTTAGGTGAATAAATTTAACATACACATGGGGGGAAGTGCTATGCAGCAAATCAGCAAATCAAAATATGCTGCAAAAATATAAAAAGATGGTAAGACTTTAGTATAGGGACCAATTCTCACTATTAACTAGCTGCTTATTTGCATGCTTATTATTAACATATTGGTTCTTTATTAGTATTTATAAAGTACATATTCTGTATGACCATAATCTACATCCCTAATCCTACCCAATGCCTACATTTTTCTAACTTCTAAATCTTACTAACTATTAATAAGCAGCAAATTAGGAGTTTATTGAGGCAAAGGTTGTAGTTAATGGTTTGTTAATAATGAGAATTGGACCTTAAAATAAAGTGTGAGCAGAAAGATTTCAACACTGAAGACTGGAATAATGGCTGCTAAAAATTCAGCATTGCTAACACAGGAATAGATTACATTTTACGATATATTCAAATAGAAAACAGTTATTTTAAATTGTAATATTTTTTCACAATAGTACTGTTTTTACTGTGTTGTTGATCAAATAAATGCAGTCTTGGTGAGCATATAAGAGACTTGTGTTTTAAAGCATGTGTTTTATGGGTTTCATTTCAAGTTCTACCAAAACAATTTTCCTTTTTCCACCAAAGTCTTCTATATTTGTCTGAAATCATCGTGGACAACAGAAGAAAATGCGAATTATCTTTGCAAATCAAGACTTTTTTTTATTTAAATGTATTTTTTTACATTTTACTTTGACTATGGTTTAACATTTGCTGGCAAGCAAGGCAATAGTAAGGGAGAAACTCCCCATAAATCATTTAAAATGTTAGGGACATCATAAAAACTAAGTGCTAATACTGTCATTTATTGTTCACATTATTATCTTATATCACATAATTTCCTAAAAGGGAAGCAACAGGTTCAGTGAATGTAGGAGTGCTACACTCTAAAAAACGTTGGGTTATTTACTGTACCCAATATCTGGGTTAACATGTTGGGTCGTTTTGTTGGGTTATTCCTATGTTTATTGGGTTATTTCTATAACAACGCAACCAGTTGGGTTAAAATTTTAAATTCCAACGGTCGATCGGTGCAACTGCGACAGATGATACAGCAGTAAAGTAATATGTGCGCGTTGTGTTGTTTTTTTTTTTGTTTTGTTACAAAGTGTCTTTAAGCCCTGACACAGTAATATTGCTGTTTTTCCTACGAGTATGTTTACATCTCCCCTGTCGACTGATATTTTAATGGTTTTTTTTTTTTTTTTTTACAAAGTGTCTTTAAGCCCTGACAGTAATATTGTTGTTTTCCTACGAGTATGTTTACATCTCCCCTGTCGACTGATATTTTAAGCCGTTATCTGCACTCTTGACTTGACTGACACGAGCGCTCTGAAGCTGATCAATTTCAAACCTATAAAAAACGGGTTCCTTACTTTTTCTGTTCGTCTCGACAGTTTTGGGGGAAATTTTACATATATTTCAGATATTTGGCTAACGCGCTCGTCTTGAAGACCAGCGGAGCCTCATCCGGTGTCGCGTCCACTCTGAGTGAAGGTATGTCGCCTTTTTATTCAAAACTACATGTCCTTTCGTCTGGAAACTACAGTGTAAAATTGAAACGCACAGAAATGAAACGCTTTATCTCTGGAAAGTTGCTGGTTACCAGAATGAAGAACTGAACTTGGAAGAGAGCGGAGCGTTATTATCATCAGTGATCAAAATACACCATTATCGGTTTCAAGGTATAGTCACATAATAACCGTTCTTGTTAAATAAAATTAACACTGTTTGTATGTACTATATAATAGAGTCTGAACAGGATGCTGGATTTTACACAATTTCTAACGTTAATAAAAGTTTAACTGTCAAAACCCCATACGTCTTAACTATACCACTTGGGAGAAAGTACACCCCGAATCGATATGGATAAATGATAATACAACTAAATAACTGGACATGCAACAATTACATTTTCAGAATGTAATTACATTTTATGCTCAAAAAGAGGCTTAAATGCAAAATAACTCAATTGGTAAATAATAACAAGTGAGATTTTAATTATATTTTGAACCCTGAAGTAGGAAATGTCGTCTTCATATGTTAATGTTTGAATTTAACTTGAGCTCAAAAGGGCATGGGTCTCAACAGATAATCGCATATTGCAAGACAAAGAAGAGAGCCTAGGATCTTCCGGATATTTCTTCTGGTGAGAAAATCCTGCTCTGTATTTTCATGCCAAATTGTAATATTTTACATTATGTACTGACAAGCACACCAACACACACTTAGGGACATTTTTACTAAACAGGGCAAATTAGCACCAGAGTGCAATTCCAAAACAGCGCAGATGGGTGTGGAAATTTCTGCAGGTGATTTACTAACAATGCGCAAATTAAAGAAATGTTGTCTTATGTTTGAATTTAACTGTTCCTATTCTTTGTTAATTTTAGATTGCTCTGGACTAAGGTATATTATACCCACATGTAAGGGATGGATAGACTCAACAGATAATCACATATTGCAAGATAGAGAAGAGAGCCTAGGATCTTTCGGATATTTCTTCTGGTGAAAAAATCCTGCTCTGTATTTTCATGCCAAATTGTAATATTTTACGTTATGTACTGACAAGCACACCAACACACACTTAGGGACAGTTTTACTAAACAGGGCAAATTAGCGCCAGAGCACAATTCCAAAACAGTGCAAATTTATGTGGGTGATTTACTAACAATGCGCAAATTAAAGAACATGCAACATCTAATTTACATATCGACCAATGCAATATACGAAGAACAGCACAAATTAGCGTAGTCGCAAATAAAGAATAAAGAAATAAATAAGCCACAGTAGGAGGCCAAAAAACGAAGGGTTGCAATAAGTTTTGATAGACCTGGTATTGCGAGACTCCCAGTTGAGGGTTCCAAGTCATCTTTTATTTCCTGAAGCAAATTAAAAATAACATGGCTTTGCAAACAATATGTTCGGACAATGTGTTCTTCTGGCATTACAAATAAATTAATACATGTGGAAAAATCCTCTCCCTTCTACCACACGCTCTATGTTCTCTGCGGTGCCTCCTCCAGCAACAATAATCGCAGCCATTTCAAGAGCAAAATAGTTTAAGACATGCTTTTTTGGAACGTCAAATAATGGTGCAAATGCCAGTAATTTGACGAGCGCAAACGTTAGTAAAACGCATTGCGTGATTCATTTGAATACTATCCTCCAATAAATGTTGCGTCTGAAAGGGAAACTCCTACAAATGCATATTCAGTAAGGTCAGGCGCAAAAAGAACTATCCACGCCTTTTCAGTGCTAATTCTTCACTGTGCGTCTTTAGTAAAAACTGACAGTACTATTTTACCACCAAAAGACGGTTTGCGCTGGCGCCAGCTGTTAGTAAAATTGGCCCTTAAAGGGTTAATTCACCCAAAACTTAAACTTTTTTATCACTTATGTTATTCCACATCTCCATGAGTTTTTTTTTACTGCTGTACACAAAAGATATTTTACTTTCATAGTATGAATAAATACACATTCTTCAAAATCTACTTTTGTGTTCAACAGAACACAGAAACTCATACCGGTTTGGAACAACTTGAGGGTGAGTAAATGATGACAAAAGTTTCATTTTTGGGTGAACTATCCCTTTGAGAAAAATCACACAAACAAGAGCACTGTGAAGGTGTCTTTAAATAGCTGAGTTAAGGCTGCTTGTGCCTGCTCAAAATACTCTGTATAGCATTGCAGCATTAAACAGTATGTAAAGACACATAAAAGCTACTTTCAGAAGTGCATCTGTGCCATCTTTGTAATGTGAATTTTGCATTAGACTCTAGATCAATCTAAATCAGGTATGAGACCACAGATAACCACAGCCTGCTGATATAGAGTCTAACAGCATGATTACGAGTGTGATATATAGTTTTTACATAACTTAAATTTCATTCAATGTCACTGACACACTGTCATTACCACCCACTATCATAACAATTTAACATGCAGAAAGAGTTAAAAAATCCCCACACCTGTCTATAATGATACAAACACCACTTTAGTAACACTCGGCTAGTCAAATTGATATATAACAGACATTAATCCATTATTACAACTGTAAAACGTCAAATGAAAGACTGCTACCATGGCTTAAAAAAGTGTGGATTTTTTTTCCCCTTATTTTCCCCATTCTTGTTCGGTGATTAATCCATTGTTCTTTCTATTTAAGATGGTCTTTGGAGATTGCATTAAAGTTGCATTAAAACCCTGACGTCCTCCTTCATTGCCATACAAAGTGGGTAAGTGCATCATTTACAACAATACATTTTTGGGTATTATTTGATCCTATGTATGCATATTTACCATTTTAAATTTCTGTTTAAAGGTTGGAACAAATGTCATTCTGTATTTGGAGGAGGAGGAGGAGCAACAAAGGTGATACCCTCATGTCCTGCAGTTTTGGGATAAAATCCATCCTTCATTATTGTGGGAGAAATGGCACTGAAGCAAGATCGTCTTTTTACAAGCGGTTGATACATGGTTTAGATTATTTTACATTTTGAACATTGCATATCCCAAGCCTGTTTCAGCTGTAATTACATTGTCTGTACTAGCTTTGTTCTGTTTGTTTGTTTATTTGTGAATTTATATTTATCTTGTAAACTGAAACAATTGCAAGTAACCTAATGTGATAAAGTGATTAAGACAATTTCAACCAATTATTTAATTTAATAGAAGTTTTTGCAACTTTAAATGTAATAGAAATAAAGTGTTTTCAAAATATTTGTATGCTGTATATTATTATTTACATAGCAATACTAATACTAATAATACTTCTACTACTACTAATAATAATAATACCAGGATGGTTAAAGCATCATTTTGGCCAAATAACCCAACAAATTAGTTATTTTATAACCCAATGCATAGGGTTACTAACTTACTACCCAATCCATTGGGTTAAAATAACCCAACATTAGGTAGGTGCTATAGTAACCCACCATTGGGTTATCTGTTGGGTCATTTTTAACCCAACTATTTTAAGTGAGCAGAGTCTTGATTGCTTCTCTTTCTGTATCCTATCCTTTTTCTAAGGAGGAGGATGTGCAGGAGAGCCGGTTGAGCTTCACGCCCAACGCAGGGAAAGATGGAGCCGTGCCCAAAGCTGCTAATAATGCGGCCACAACACCCTCTGACCCAACCCTTACTGCCGGCAAGAGTCATGAGGAGATGAGGAAACTCTTCATCGACCGAGCCAAGAAGATCGACACTGTGTCCCGTGCCGGATTCCCACTGGCCTTCCTGTTTTTCAATATTTTCTATTGGGTCCTTTACAAAATCCTACGTCACGAGGACGTGCACAAGCCATAGATGGAACATGGCATGTTGCACCTTGGGAGGTACGGTAGTAACACAGCAAAGCTGCATCAATGAACTCTGATGTTTCCTGCCAAGATCTATGCTAAAATGACTATGAAAAACTGTGATGTCAAGGACCGGTGGTTAATTTCAAAAGTTTGTTTGTGTTATACACCCATACGAAGAAACTGCACTCACTATGCAATGGATAGGTATCCGTAGGGCCTCTGACACACCTGTCCCACAACAAAAGTGGTCAGCACTTCTACACACCTGTTTAACACAGAAACACAGTCCAATATTGACTACAGCCCCTCGTAGTGACGTGTGTCTTGCACTGGTTTTGTCGACTCTGTTGTCTTACAGCTTTATTGCCAACGTTCTGTGTTGTATTTTTGATATACAGCTATTGAAAAATGGCAAGAGTGCAAGAGCAGAAATGTATATTATACAAATATCCAAACACAAACTACTAATATTGATTATTTTATAAGGAAGAGTTAACTAGTTTTTATTAGCAGTAATGTGTCCCCGAACATTTTGTCCCAACCTGATTGTTGACCAGCTCTAGAAACCAGCATCCAGGCCAAAAACATTCTGAGCTAAATCTCAAGAATGACCCTGAACCAGCAAAGAAGACAATTGTGTTTACAGCCAACTATATGAACACCTTAACATTAACTGCTTCAAGGAAACACATTTTGAAAACTTTAATGGGTAGCATACTGTCAGTAACCATTAAGAAATTGAAACCATCCTTCAAGTTTTTCTCAAACAAAAGCATTATTGTTCGAAAACCATTGCTCACTTCAAACTAATGATGCCACGGCAATATAATGCGGCTGGGAGTGAATAATGTCATACATGTGTTGCAAATTCATGGATGGAGAAATGAATTCAAGGAGGGCTTGTTGGGATAATGTTGCAGTCAACGTGTTTTCTGAGACAAGTCCTCAGACAAAAAATTGTAATGCGAAAAAATGTAAATGAGATTCATAATTATGAACATAATTAGAGTGGTTTTAAACTAATCTAACTGCATGTATGGTGATTGTATAACTATGAATTCTGAATAGACATTATTAAATTATACTAAAAGAGAATTATATTTAATTCTGCCTCTGAAGATATCCCTAAGGTATTGCAAATATATTTAAAAACATGTCATGGGAAAATGTGTACTTGGAATTGGTATTTATCAATGTTATCAATATTTATATTGTCGAAATTAAGAATTATCCGTTCACTTATAAACACTGTTCAAATACTGGGACCAGACCTTCTTAGACCTTTTTTTTTTTTTTTTTTTTTTTACTTTTGCATTAGTAAAGGTTTTTTCAGAATAGTGATCAAAGTTTCATATTTATGATTTAAAATTATTTTATATAATTTGTCTATTTGGTTTTTTTTTTTTTTTTTTTTTTTTTGTCCGTTGTCTGGGTGAAATGTCTTTTCTTTTCAAAAGTATCTGCTGAAAAACTGTGCTATACAAATGATCAAAGCATATCTAGTCTCACACATTCCTAAGAGTAAATAGAGCAGTGCTGCTGTGTTTTGAACACTATCTGACATCAGCATTTGGCACATACATTCATCATGGAAAGGACACAAGAACTGCATGGACATTTACAGTATAATGCAAGAGCATTTGTAATTTATTTTGTACAAACATTATTAAATGTTATGCATGAACTCAAGTATGTTATACTTCATTTTCAGTGTGAATTGGACCAGCAGTCAATGTTCTCGCTGCTATTATAAGAGGTGAGGCGCGTATGTTCTTCTGTGTACATCTGTAAATACTTCTGGCCGCATTTAGACTACTTTACAGTGTTCGTGTTACACAAGTATATATAGCTAACGGAACAGTTATAATACTAACGAAATGTATTACACTTTTGCAACACAAAATACGTTTGTGTTTATTTTAAATTGGTCAGTAAATAGGCTGCGTTAACATAAACGCTGTAATGTAAAGCGTAAAGTTCTTTTCATATGTTTACTGAAGAGCCCTCTGAGAAAGACTGAAAAAATAAAGATGTTTATACAAGCATCCGTTGTCTCTTGTTCATTTAGGTGCGTTAATTTTACTCACTCCACGTGTGTGTACTTGTACACTGTTCGACTGCCGCCGAGGGCACTAAAAAACGAACGCACGGAGCGCTCACAAAATTGTTAGTAATCATCTCTTTGGTGTAAATGTCAGTTTGTAAAACGACACTTGGCCGTCTGTGTTTACTGTAGTAATACTTATCTACACGCCCCCTTCTGACTGTACACCTACATAAAGCATTGCGCGGTGCGCTCTGCGGTGAGCAGCATGAGTGTCCACGGGAAAGTGGCTCTGGTCACCGGCGGCGCGCAAGGCATCGGAAGAGCCGGGGTGGAACATCTCCTGGAGAACGGGGCGAAGGTTTCGCTTTGTCAAATTTCTTTTTAACATTGACTTCGCGGATTAATCCACTTAACTGTTGGGAAAACTTGTGCAAAACGTCTTTATAACTAGTTCAGTTGCCTGTTTGGGGCGATTATCTTTTATGTCATCATGCATCGTTGCGTCTTCATTTAATTATTTGTTTTAGCATTACGTTATTAATGTACTTTTTGAAAATTCAGGTTGCACTGGTAGACCTGAACCAGTCTGTGGGAGAGGAATGTAAAAGTGATCTAGATGGCCAGTTTGGAGAGGATAACTGTATTTTTATCCAATGTGACGTGACTGACGCGGGAAAACTTAGAGGTAAACTTTTTTTTTTTTTACTTATCCTTTTTGTTAGGAAATGTATGATATCTGTCTAGTCTGGCACAGTTTGAAATAGATTTCTTAGAACGAAACAATTATCCACTTTATATTGCGCACCTGTATGTACAGCGCATCTTATTCCTAAACAATGTCTCATTGTTTGGGAAGTGAATTAGGTCATACTAGACATTCATAGGCCCTCAGGTCATCACTGAGGAATGTTACCGGGTTTTTTTTGAAGTTTTAACACTAAATGTGTAGCCTTTTGTTAGGCTGCTTTATTTCTTCAAGACCAGAGTTTATGGGTCGGTGGTGAAGGGATTGTTCATTCCTGTTAAACTTGTTTCTAAAGACACACTTACCTAAGAGTTTAATTAAATGTTTCTTTGTGGAATGCTGCAGCTGCAAGTCAGGTGAGGGCACATGCAGACTGACACTGGCTGTGTTTCAAAACCTAGTGAACTGACTAGCTGGACTGCTCATTTGGGTTGAATGCACAGCCACTTTGTACTGCTGTCAAAAGTGGCACTATTGAAACATTGCTATTTATTATTATAAATGAAAACCCTGCTGTGTTTTCTTTCATTAGATGCCTTTCAAAACACAGTAGAGAAGTTTGGTCGGTTGGATATCGTCATCAATAATGCTGGAATCAACAATGAGAAGAACTGGGAAAAGACCATTGAAGTAAATTTGGTGAGTTCAAATCATTATGCTTGAAATCCAACCTGTAAGAGACAGAAAAAATGGATAGGTCATGCCAAACTCTTGCATTTAAACTTAACCTCATATCGTTGGACACATGCTAAGTGTGGACGACGTTTGGTGCTTTAGGGCACAACATTCAACCACACTTCAGGATAGGCGTTACAAATTCACTAAAATACTCCACCCCCTGCATCCAGTCCAAAAGATTTCACAATAGTACATGAAGTAGAAGGAACACCATTATATGGCACTTGTAGGCCTACATATGCGCTGTATGAAATAATCTACAGATCTTTTAAATCAATCATGCTCTGCAGAGTGATTTCATAATGGACATGATGCAGTATAATAATGTGTTTGTTCATAATAGTCAATGTCAACATAATCTCACTCTCATAGAAAACATCTGTTCACTCTGCGCTAGCAGTTTTACACAACTGTTGTCTTCCTCAGACATCTGTCATACAAGGGACGTATTTAGCACTAGAACACATGAGTAAAGAGTACGGAAAAGAAGGAGGGGTTATCATCAACGTTTCATCTATGGCAGGTAAGATACTGATAACTTTATCATGTGTCTTACATATGTGCATGTTTTGAAAAAGTTAGCCTAAATGTTTTGTAGCCTGTAGAGAGTGTTGTTCTTAAGAAGGTTACATAACAGTATTTTTTTTTGGTTATTAGCAAACTATAGAGTGAGTCAAATATTTGCTCACACTAAAGCAAACATATCTGACCTGGTTAATAGGGCTGCTGTTGTCTCTGTTGCCAAGGATCTGTACCAACTGTTGAAAAATGACACATGCACAATTATTATGCCAAAATGTAATAGATTGCATAATAAATACTGTGCACTTACTTGATGATTGACTTGCTTGATGATTAAGATGCAAAAGAATTAGAACATTTTGCAAAATAGGTCATTTGGACACACCTTTTTTTCTAAGAATGCAGTTTTAAATGAACTCAGAAGACCATAATGCAAATAATAATAGCAGTCTCACAACAGCTTGCACAACATAGACTCTTTAACCTACAAAAGTGTCTGCTTTTAAAAATGCAGTTTTTGTTTTGTTGTAGCATGCCTGCATGCTATTGGTCAAACTTTTAAGTCAATACCTTGAAAAAGTCAAGTCAAGAAGACAATAGGAAAGCAAAGCCAAAACCCAGACATTTGTGGCAATTTAGAAAGCTAGGACAAGAAAGATGAGATTTGTTCACCCTATACCATACTTTCATATTTTAAAACCGTATCTTTCTCTTCCTCTGTGACTATTCAAACAATATCCCAGCAAAGCCAGGTTCCCACTGAAAAATATCACCAGCTTTATACTTAAGCACCCCAAAAGATGCCAAAAAAATCATACATTTAAATCATAAATCAACAGCAAAACTATTATCAGCTTATCTATCTGTCATCAAATGCCTGTGTTTTGGTGCCACTGAGCAGTTGAGACATAGATAAACTGATTCTGGGCACTGTTTTGAAGATATGAATATTATTTTGTGTATACTGTATATATACAGTGGGTACGGAAAGTATTCAGACCCCCTTAAATTTTTCACTCTTTGTTATATTGCAGCCATTTGCTAAAATCATTTAAGTTAATTTTTTTTCCTCATTAATGTACACACATCACCCCATATTGACAGAAAAACACAGAATTGTTGACATTTTTGCAGATTTATTAAAAAAGAAAAACTGAAATATCACATGGTCCTAAGTATTCAGACCCTTTGCTGTGACACTCATATGTTTAACTCTATATATATATATATATATATATATATATATATGTGTGTGTGTGTGTGTGTGTACAGTCTAGATGATGAATTGTGCCTGGCTGACAGTGAACTTGTTATAACCCCCAACACACTACAGACAGGTTTTTAGACTTGGATTTGAAACAGCCTTTTCTTTCCCAACTAAGATGGGAATATCTCATATATAGAGATGGGATAAAGGATGGTTTATTTCCCTCACTGCCTCTCAGGTTTCTTTAACTAATGTAACACAGGTAATTACCCCTCTTTGTGATTGGAACAACTCTCACTTTGTGACTACATTAATGGAATTTAGTTTCTTCTATTGTATCTGGAGATTGATTTGCTTGCATGATTTGTCTTTTTCTTGCATTGCCCTCTCCTCTAAAGCTGGAAGCTTGATATTGTGTTTGATTAACCATGCACACGGTACATTGCATTAATTACCAGAAGAAGAAAAAACAACATTAAAGCAATGGTTCACCTAAAATGAAAGTGTGCTGAAATGTACTCACCCTCAGGCCATCCAATATGTAAATGAGTTTGTTTCTTCATCAGAACAGTTTTGGAGAAATTTAGGAATACATCACTTGCTCACCAGTGGATCCTCTGCAGTGAATGGGTGCCGTCAGAACATTTAATAGCAGTTTAAACATCTGATAAAAACAATAAGTAATAATCCACAAGTAATCCACACCACTCCAGTCTATCAGTTAATGTCTTATGAAGCAAAAAGTTGTGTGTTTATAATAAGCAAATCCATCAAAACCTTTTTAACTTTGAAACGCTGCTTCTGACTAAAATACGAGTCCTCTATCCATAATATTGCTTTCTCCAGTAAAAACGTTGTCTTATCTAAATCAGGAGAGAAATATGCACAGATCAAAAGAAAAAAAAGTCCAGAACAGTTCTAGACAAATATGTCAGTGCATGTATTTTGATGTGAGAGGATAACAAAGGATGGACTTTTCCACTGGAGGAAGCCTTATTATGGATTATGGAGTGATATTTTGGTCAGAAGCAATGGTTTAAAGTTAAATGTCTCAATGATCGATTTGTTTTTTGCAAACAAGTTTTGCTTTTCACTTCACAAGATGTTAATTGATGGACTGGAGTCATATGGATTACTGGATGATTATTATGATGTTTTTAATCAGCTGTTTGGACTCTCATTCTGACGGCACCCATTCACTGCAGAAGATTCATTAGTGAGCAAGTGATGTAATGCTGAATTACTCAAAATCTGTTCTGATGAGCAAACTCATCTACATCTTGGATGACCTGAAGGTGAGTGAATTTTCATTTTTGAGTGAACTGTTCCTTTAAGACTAAGTTAAAATATGGGCCTGATTCAGTCCCCTTTACCTCTGACAGCACTGAATCAGTATTAATGATGAATATATACAAATATTTACCAGAAACTTTAAAATAATCGAGAAACTAATTTCTTAATGACAATAACTATTTATTGTACCTGTACTTGTTTTCATTATTGCCGTGAGCAACTCTCACAAACTGTGGAAGAATGAAGGCTGCCCTGAGACAGGTGCTATAAATTAAACAGACCTCATGTAGCTAAAAATAGAACATTATAAATATAATCTAAATTATATAATCATAATTTGTCCACAAACTATTACATAGAACAGATACATAAAGCAGTCTACAAAAGTAATCTTATGTCTAGGACCTAGTTTTTGAGCATATAGGGAGAACGTTTGTGGATTTATGCAGAAATACCTAACCAGGCTGAATGGAAACATGTCTTTTTGGATGACCTCTATGTTTGGTTTAGTTTTTATGATGATCTTACCCCTTAATTAAAATGTTTACAGACAAGAAAGCTTGATGACTCTCTTCAACATGTTAATACAGCCAGAATGGGAAACAGAGCCTTCATTTTTGCAAAAGTGGGTTATTCACTGCATGTGCATTAATGTTGTGCTTAGATTTGTTCATCCAGAACACACAAGAACTGTTTAATTGTAAATACAGTCTCAGCTGCTATCCTTGGCTGCCTAGGTTTGATGCAGCTTGTAAATGTTGTTTATCATAACAAAGCCTGAAAGCTAAAGGAAACATTGTTCCATTTGACTTTTCCAATAACCTTCCACATAAGATAAAGTATAAATTCAACACTGTATAGACACGCACACACACACTTATATATACATAAAAGATGTTGGGCGGCAGGGAGGCAGAACTGTTTGTTCATGTGAGTCCTTGGAAGGTAAAGCATTTATTGACCTTTTATTTATTGTTCCCTCTGGTTGCTAGATGAAGTCTTCCCTTTGGATAAAACTAATTTTTTGGACCAATGAGAGACAGTCGTTCTGTGTATATATGTTATCAGAAGGACAATGGCGTCAGTGGCTCATATTTCCCAGCAGTTATGGGCACATCATTGTATCTCTGTATTGTAAATGAGTAATTTACTGCTAATCTTATCTAAATGTACGGTTATAAAATGATATTGTCATATACATAACTACTGAATGGGTCTGTGAACTAAATTGGACCCAAAAGTAGCCTTAGCTTTGAGTGTTTGCCTTTCTGGTTTTTATTTTACTGTTGTTCCAATATTGTTATTAGTTATTTAATTCTTTGTTATGGTTTATTTAAATATTATATGAACTATAAAAGTTTTTTTGTAAATATATGATTGATACATAATTTTCTTTAAATGTATTTTATAGTTTATGTAAAATCTCATGGTTTTTATTTATTTTTACTAAATATTTAAATATATAATCTCATTTTGTGTATATGTGTATGTGTATGTGTATATATTAGTGCTGTCAAACGATTAATCGCATCCAAAAATAAGTTTGTTTACATAATATAATGTATGTATGTGTGCTGTGTCTATTTATTATGTATATACAGTATAAATAG